CGCATAATGATTATTACATTTGTAGTTATTTTTTCGTACCTCTACATTGTCAAGCAGATATTTAGTTAGTTACCAATTGTTAGGTAAAATAAAAACAACAAATTTATATGATCAGATAAAGATATTCATTTTTTTCTTCTCTAAATAAGAGAATGAACACATCTGTACTGCAATTCTTGTTGAACAGTTGTTCCCTTTGATATTACCACAGGTAATAACCGCCTAGATGACTTTTTTTCTGTTTTTTTTTCCTGCCTTTTGTTCCATAATCTTATCATTTTCTTATGACTTTAAAGTATTAAAATATAACCAAAAAGCGGAAAAATACACAGAGATATTACTGCTAAGTACTTTTGTTTTAATCTATCTGTTAAATAATGCATTATTGGCAAAAATAAACATACTTACGCTTTCTTTTTATGTAGCTGTAGAACAGGATATTAATGCAGGGAGAAAAGCTGCAATAGATTCATTAACATAACAACCTAATTATTATCGACTTTCGTATTTTGTGTAATCGACACTATCGGTGCTTTTGTTTCCTTGATAACCAGATTGTATTTCAGTGCCTAATTTGGACCAGATTCAGTGTGTACAAACTTGTTAATCAATTGCCGGTAAGCACAGTGCTTTTTGAAGTAGTGATATTTAACTATCTTATGACTTTTGTCTATGGAGAATGCGAAAAGCTGAGTGTCAACCTGTTTCTTTGCATAGGTAAATTACCAATGTTAGTCATTAGTTTTGATAAATACAAAAAAAACAGCGAAAGGAGTTATTATCATAGTGTTTGCTTCTTGATAATGATAAGAATGAACTTATAAAGATGCTATTTCTATATTATCCTGCAGTTATTAATGACCTTTTAAACACGGAGAATGTAGTTGGTGCAATTAAGTAGCTGATTTAGGTTAGGTGGGAGCAGGTTAGAAGTATGCTGTTCAGATAATGCATATATGTAATGTGTAGGTCACATTCAGTACTATTAAATAAAGTGGAAAATGCTGATACATGATGAGAAATACTGGTACCTTTATGGTGCACTTTCTTCCTACCTTGGTATATCAGTTGAATTCATTTAATCTGCCTTTTTAAGTGTTAAGCGCATTAACAAAATTTCAGGAAGTATAAACTTTTAAAATTATATGTGAATCGTTTATTTGATTTCTAATCCATATTACTCTTTACTATCAAAATTGGAATAAAGGAAAAAGTAATCTGAATGTGTCCAGGGGGAGTCAAATTACAAGTGACATTATAGGACAACTTATAGTAAATGCCATCTGATACTCTTAAATGTTTCCATTGCTGAGTTTGTGGGAATTCGATGAAATCGATAGAGATTACTGCACAAAAGTAAGTACATTTTCCTAAGTAATTTCATTCTAGTGAGTTCTAGTGGGAAGTTGTAACCAGTAGGGTGCAGGAGGTTGGGTGTGAGGACAAATACTCGCCGAAGACATTGGCTAGGGGGTCGCGCTATGTCGTGAATTGGCAGGAGTTAGAATTCATGGGCTATTAGATCGGGTCGCAGTGGTTTAATGGTCCACGAGCTCGCCTTGTAACCAGAATGTCCTGAGTTCGAACTCGGGTGGGTGCGCACTGATGAAGAGTCCCGAATTGGGACAAAGCGGATGTCCAGTACTCCCAGGTTTTCCAGTCGTTCTCTAACCAATGTCAGCTCATGATGAAATCCTGTAACCAACCAGTCAAATCCCTAGCAACCAATACTTGAGTAATTTCAGTCTAATTGATGTTCCCAAGGTATTGTAGTAGGACAAATTTTACTGTATCAAATTCAAGAGAAAATTTCAATCTTAGTTTTCACAAGTTTTTATTGTCGATGAACATAGAACCATCAGGAGTGATGTCCTAAAATAAATAGAAATCCTTCTTCTTTCATTGCTTAATAATATACGAGACTGTGAATATTTAATATGTTTACCCATCATCAGATTAATTTTAGTGAACATAATGTCAGAGGCAGAAGTGAAAAGGTGAAATAGACATTCATCTCTCCGAAATCAACTGTAATCAGCATATGAATCAAAATTCGGATTTCTAACACAAATGTATAGTCCGTTCTTCGATACGAATCAGGGGCTTGACAGCTTATGTCACTGTAAGCATTTCCATCAGGCTTCAAACTTTTATCAGTAGCTTCCTTCGCTCCACACTGAATATGAGACAGTCAGTCACAAAGAATTTATTATTATATTATTATTATACCCTTGGGTTTCTAGTGGAGTGTAGATCTTCAACAGCATGTCTCCATTTTGTCCTGTTGGCTGCAGTTTTCTTTAGCTGGCCCCACTATTGCCCACAAACTTTCATCTCCCCTTCACAAGATCTCTATGTCACCCTTAGACCCAACCCAACTCGTATCCCGGTCGGGTTCTACTTGAGCGCCTGGCATGCGATGTTACCCGATGGCCTCCTAGGCATGTGCCCTATCTATCTTTGAAATATTTGTTGAGCAATAGGTTCTCAGTTGGTTCGTCCCCAGAGTTTTTGTTGCTAATTCTTACTGGCTTGTGCTTTGATCTTCAATATGAAGCGAGGGCAGCTGTTGGTAAGAGTCTGGAGTAGGCTGTTAGAAATGTTTTTCCTGGCACACCAAGTTTCTACCCCTTATAGAAGAAGTGACTTAACATTAATGTTTTGAAAATGCGACACCTGTTCTTTACTCTGAGTGTAGTAGGTTTCCAAACCGACTTTTTAGGTCTCATTTTGACATCTTAATCGGTTCCACCTGTATTGGAAAGACCAGAGAGGAGTAGCAACAAGCAACCATGGAAATGAACCAACCGGGAATCTATTGACCAACAAATGTATAGAAGAAAGCAGATATGGATCAAATACACTAAGAAAACCATTGAGTGGTATCGCATGCCAGGTCCTCGAGTGGAATTTGAATAGGGAACGACATATTTACCTCTTATCATGCAACTTAGACTGAAGGATAAATAATACGAACAGACGAAATGGACTGTAGTTAGGTGAGTTATAATTTAATACAGGACAGTAAACACTGAAACTTTCCATTCTTTTTTTGATATAAAACAAAAATTAATTTCATTTTGTTTCTATATTACTGAAGTTAGATGGTACAGCTTCAAAAATGACTGGTTTAATACTATTTTTCAAAATAAACAAAGTAGCCTTTAGGGAAAATGAACACCGGGTGAATTCTACAGGGTTTTATTTGGAATACATGAAAATTGGTAAATAAATATGCTTAATCGTGACTGCGGGAAACCAGTTAGATAAGTGCGAGTTATTTAGAAGAAAAAGAAATTGAGAATAATGAGTACTCTAACACATCATCAGGCATTTATACACCTGGAACTACTAACATATTCTATAAAATAGAGGGATAAAGATGTTAAACCATTGAAATGTACAGTCAAATGACATTAGCATTACTGTATTGCAAAACAGCATTCACCTTCTGAGTTATCCGCGAGACAAGCTTATTCACTGGCGTAATGAGGTCACTATCTCTCACTTACCTGAAAGCAACGCCGTTAAATATTTTAATGCAGTAAAATAAATATTTTCAGTAGTTAGTCATCTATTAAGCAAACAGTGATTTATAGCATATAAGGACGCTTGGCGAATGGGGAATTACTTCGTGTTGCCTTTTATGTGTATTTGGAAAGATTTCCATACATCCGGTAGAAATTACTTGTCAACTAAGAGGATTCAAAGACAACAGTAATTTATTTAACCTATATATATATATATATATATATATATATATATATATATATATACATAGGCAACCAGATAAAGAAACACGGAATCAGTTCAATGGGCAGTTTACAGTTACGCAATTACGAAAGTTCCCTTATTTTGTCTATCTTAAAAAAGCAATAACAACAGGCCGGGTATTTTAAAGACGTTGATACCAACGCTAATTTCATATTATTTGATTTTTATAAATGTTGATTTCTTTCAGATTATTTTATTGCTATTTATTCCTGATTGCAGTAGATTGGACAATGCGACAAACAGCAGGCAATGAGGGAACAGGTATAAAATGAACCCACACAAAAAGCTTGGAGGATCTAGACTTCGCCGATGATATATGTCTGATTTCCAACAAACTGGAAGATATGCAAGTGAAAAGCAACAATCTGGCAGAAGAAGCATCCAGAGAAGATAGGCCTTCAGGTGAACATAGAGAACAGAACAGATGTGGTGATGAAGATTCTTGGCCAACACCAACACCACCACCACCAACAACAACACCAACAGACAACAATCACTCAGCATAAATGGGAGGAACCTGAAAGAAACAACCTCCTTTACCTACCCACCTACCAAGAAAGCATCGTTTCAACTACAGTCAGACCGAAGTGACGAGAATATCAAAGCAGCGAGGATCGGGAAAGCAAGACGAGCTCTCATTACTCTCAAGTCTGTGTGGAGGTCAACAGCACTCACCATCAAAAATAAGATCCGGATTTTTAACTTCAGTGTGAAGTCAGTCAGTGCTACTCACTATACGGATCAGAGACTTGGCCAGCGTGTCAAAAAGAGCACATTAAACAAACTACACTTCTTCATTAGCAGATGTATTTGCTCAATACTCAAGATCAGATGGTCGGCCAGGAAAGATCAGCAACAGGGATCTCTGGAAATGAGCGAACCAACCAGGAACCGATTGTGAAACAAATAGTCAGGAAGAAATGGAGGTGAATTGGATTGTGGCCATACTCTGAGAAAAAGAAACCATCAAGTGACATCACTAGACAATCCATTGCTCGAGTGGATTCCGAACGGTAAGCGGCGAGTTGGTGGTCAGTGTGTGTGGGTGACTTGGAGGAGGTCATGTGAAGAGGAGATGAAAGCATGTAGGCAGACTTGGAGCCAGGTGGAAATTCTAGCAGAGAACTGAAGGCAATGGAGACGCGCGGCTGAAGCCCTACCCTCCTCTAGAAATTAAAGGAAATAATAATAATTTATTACGAATGAACAATTATCTCACTAACAAGCGCATATTCTTGACACGATTTCCATGCCACATCTGAATAGACCTAATGTTAGTGTTTTTATGAAGTGAAATCAGCATTAGTATCCAGCTGATCGAAAACACTGTTCAAAGGAAATAAGAAGAGATATTATTCTTAAATTATGGGTAGCTGAAATTATTAGTAGACTCATCTATATACAAAAATGAGCATGGAGTGTGTTTGTCTGACTTTGTGCAAATTACTTTTAAAGTTGATAACACAAAGAAATAGCATAAAAATGACATCATTTACAAAGTAACTTGATGAAGTAAATAATGGAATAAAGCATGCTGATGATATTAAGCTTTTGGAATATAAAAATGCAGTAAATAAAATTTTGTTGTTTTTTTTATTCATCCATATTTATGTAGTCATAATACTTTCACTAATGCAGTACATTAAAAATTTACATTATATTTACTATTGAAGCATTCTTAGAGAATCAGATATCCGGCCTCCCAATGTTTGTTGGCCGTGTTTTAATTGCCTGCCTTTGTGATGAACGCATACAATAGTTAGATTTATTTGAGTTAACCAAGGAAATGTCCATTGTTCCTATACCACCATATGATATTGGCACAGCACTTGTGCATGAACCACTTCCAGATGATAGACCAAATGATCCAGAAGGCATTATATTTCTCAGGGTGGTTGATACCAATCCGTGGTGTTGGTGATGGTGATGTTGATGGCAGTAATGAGACGAATCACCCATAACTTGACCACTATTGCTCTGCAAACTTTCGAAATTCATAGTGTTCCCTAAAAAAGAAAGAATAAATACTTTATTTATTTATTTATTTTATTCAGCTGTTATGCTGAAATTCCTAAGACAGTAATCATTTTGACATCTATAAAACACAAAACAAGTGAAGTGAGCAAAAAATATCCTTTTCGATAAGATCCTCTGCTGACTCTACAAATATATATATATATATATGTTTATATACATAGAATATTCTAGAATACTAGTCAATAACAATATTAGCTTTTTTTAAAAATAATATCGATTTGTAAAGTAAACCTAGATGGCCAAGGTAAGGACAATGTCTGAACTAGCTTCTTTTGGACGCATAAATTAGGTGTCTTAATGTGGATCTCAACGACCTCAGCAATATTTGGGAAACGAACTCTTAAGACGAAACTAAGATTCGTAGGTATGTAGTAAATGACTTTGAAAGCCTGGTTAACATCAGTCTTGTGTTCTGTATCCATAAGATGAGATAGAGTAGCACTAAGAATATATTTAGTTTGTCCTTTACTTAACCACGCATATCAGCAAATCTTGACTTCGCGTTAAGAGATCGTTTACTAATATTGCTGAGGCCGTTGAGATCCACAATAAGACACCTTATTTATGCGTCCAAAAGAAGCTAGTTCAGACATTGGCCTGACCTTGGCCATCTAGGTTTGAATGATCCTCAATTTTGGTGGAAATTTCCCTAATTTTAGTTGATATTCTATTTGCTACTATATCTTTATTATTAATATAATTTGAGGAGCTTTGATGACCTGTAATTCCAGTGATCCTACTTTACAAATCGATATTATTTAAACAAAACTATTATTGTTACTGACTACTAATCTAGAGTATTCTATGTATATATATATATATATATATATATATATATATATATATATATATATATATATGTAGAGTCAGCAGAGGATCTTATCGAAAAGGATATTCTTTGCTCACTTCACTTATTTTGTGTTTTATAGTAATCATTTTTACATGACCATTCAGACCTTCTGTGTACGAGTACAGATAGCTGCTGAATCGCTGATAGTTAACTCCTGCTTCCTGACAATTTAACCGTACTTTACAAGGAAATGTTTTCATTATACAGAATGTAGATGACACTTGAAACTTACTTATAATCACACAACTAGTGTGCTAGGTTTTCAAGTGTACTTTTTCAGCTTCTTATATTAGTTACCTTCCAAACTGGTGTCAGTAGTGGTTTTGAAATCCAGTATTGCTGTGAAATGTAAGCGTTTTTATTTGTATATTCGCTGTAACATAGGGTCTTGTCTCACTTCTATTTCATCTTAAAGGCAACTTGTATACTTCGTAAGATGAAATGTTTGTATAAACAGTGTATGAAAATAAACCGAAGAAAAATTACTGTGACATGCATGACAGCCACATGAATGTATTTGTCTCTTCCAAACTTTATCTTTAAAAGTGGCTAGTTTTAACTTACTAATCATATACTTATATATGTGTATAGCATTATATACTTCCACTGGTTCAAAACTAGTAAAAGAAACTATGCAACAACTACTATTATGGCGATGAAAACACAAAAAAGCAACGTTCAACTGCGATGGAACTCAGAGAATTATGTCTTACAACCTACTTCCAGTTCAATAATCAAATATATGAACAGACAGAAGTAACACCAATGGGATCGCCCATATCAGTATCGATACCTTAAGCCTGTATGCAAATATTAGAATTAAGAGCCTAACCTATGATTAATCCAAAAATCTGGTTACGTTAGGGTGATGATACATTCGTAATAATTAAAAGAAATGATTTGTACTGTACCCACAAATTAATAAACAATATATTTGAAGACATCGGATTTACAAGAGAAGAAGAACTAAACAAAATTCCTTTTTGGATGTCTTAACCGACAGAACTAACACAGGAAATCTAGAAACACAAGTATACAGAAAATCAACGCACACAGATCAAATACTCAACCATAATAGTAGTAACCTGATTACCCACAAAAGAAAGTGTGTGCAGACATTGCTTAAGAGAGTTCAAGCACACTGTAGCACTCTGGAGTTGAAAAGCATGGAATAAAAAAAAATACCTACTAACCGTCTTCAAAAAGAATGGATATCTTCACAATTCCATCAAAAAGTGTTTAAACTCGAATCACAACACCAGCAAGAAAACATCATCAAGGAATACGAGAAAATTCATCCCACCATATACTAAAATAATATCTCTGAAATAACAGCTAGAATATTAAGACTGTTTAAAATAGATGTAGCACACAATCCAGCACAATCACTTAATTCGATATTGGGCAAATTACAAGATGCAACAGAAAAAGAAGATAAAATTAATGTTATTCACAAAACAAATAGGTCAACTAGGCATTCCTTCCGAATCGAAATACAAGAACACAAATTGGCTGTAAAACGAAATCATATGTATATTATTTTTTATCAACGCAAGTGGATAATTATGGACATCAAAAGTGCCAGGGAACTCTTAGAAGCCTGCTACTCAAATGAATCAGCTATTAACAAACACATCAATCACTATTGACCGAATTTACCAGCCAATAAAAAGTGAATCACATGACAAGAAAGTTCAAAAATTCTAAGTCAATAAAAATAGAGACATAAATTACCACCCAGTGACGAAGTGATACAATTACATCATCACTCATGAAAAATTTGAATGAGTTCATTTTATTCTACAACTTGTACTGTAGCGACATTGTATCAATGGACAACGGAAGCTTCGGAATGAAATCAACTAGCTCAGAGAACACAACTAGTTCACCATCAGCCACCTGAGCTACAAATCTTCTGAATGCACGATTTTCCTGTTGACATCCTTATCAATACATATCTCATAAGGTAATTATTTAGTTTTGCAGGCTGAAATATAAAAAGTTACAATAATCCTATGGCAAATAATGACAACAACTAAACAACCTAGAATGACTACCATTTAGATATCATTCGAAACAGGTCCTTTGTATCAGGTGAATTAGTGAAGACTGGAATATGTTGTAGTTCTTCTCTCCTCTGAGATTAAATATATTCGAAGTCACTAGCAGAAAATCAAGGTGTGAAAAGGGGGAAAAAGTGATTATTAACTCGAGTATTCAACCATTGGAAAAGATGTATTTTTGTTTCTTAATAAGAATTTCTGTGTAAAAATAAATTTACCAGTGAAAAGTGAGTTTTTTAATGATCATATTTATTAGTGGCAAGAACTCTGGGCTTTTTTATATTGAAAGAAGATGATTCTATGGATACCTTAAGTTTTCTATAATGTTTGTCCATCACTGATTGGCAAGAAAAAATTGAGCTTTATTTATCATTATGATGTCAGTTATATTGAACTCATGCATTACTGAACATACGGCGTACTTTACAAACAAGTGGACGGGGTGGCGATGGGCTCTCCCTTGGATCCCATTCTGGCTGATTTCTTTCTAAGTAAGCTAGAAAATGGACCTCTGAACAACCTTATCAGTAATTTCTCATTTTATTGCCGATATATGGATGATACCTTTATTTTTTGTGATAATGGCTCTGATAGGAGTACAATAATTACTGAATTCAATGAACTTCATTCGGCTATGAAATTCACATGCAAAGAGGAAAACCCAAGACAGAATAGCCTTCCTGGATGTCCTACTTACAAGAAAACCAGATGGTAGCATAAAAAGAAATTTGCATAGGAAAAGTACTTGCACAGGACAATATACACATTTTCACAGCTTCGTTCCTATCAAGTAAAAAATAAATTTAGTGAAGACCCTCAGCCACAGAGTTAGAAATATATGCTCAGAAGAAGTAACTGAAGATGAATTAAGCATTGTATATGATACTTTGATCGAAAATGGCTATCCCGAAAAATTTATCAAGAAACATATGACAAAGAAAGAGGAAAAGGACTACTCACTATCTGTAAACAAGAAGCCACTTTATATACGACTACAATTCAAGGGTGATATACCAAGTGAGATAATTACGAGGAAATTAAGAAAATCAGTTCAAAGAACTTCTAATGCTGGCGAACTACACTTATTATTCTCTATACGACCGATGGTTCTACCTCGACTGAAAGATGAAGTACTTAGGCTAGCCACTTCAAATTGAATCTATCAATTCAACTGCGCTTGTAGTAGAGCGAGTTATATTGGCCGTTTCTCTAGGAACTTGATTTTTCGTGCTCGAGAACATCTCCTACTATGGCTAAGTAAAGGTGTAGTGAAAACCATTAACAGTTCAATATTGGACCATCTGGTGCAAACCGGCCGGCCACAAAGCCAGCCAGCATTGAAGAATCCTTCCCTATCATCATCTACCGGGTGACTAATATATTGCCAAAATCATCGAAGCACCGCAGGGTGCAAACAGCGGAGACTATTGCTATTCGCCTCAAACAACCAGTGCTCTGTGTTCAAAAGAAGTAAGTCCAGCCCCTACTATCGACCTGGGCTTTAGTAGAAGCTATATACTCATGAATTTGTAATATTATCCTTCCTAATTCTTCTGACATTCAGCTTATTTTATGTTGATGCTATTGAGCTGTAATCTAATAATATTATTGATTCGATGTTATTTAAACAACATTAATGTTGTTCATAACACTAATTCATTCATTCATTCATTCACTATAATGTATGTATAAATGTAGAGCCTGATGATGAATTTATCGAAAAGAGTACTCTTTGTTCAGCATCCATACGTAATACGTTGAATAAAACTGGTTAGACTAAGTATCTGGTTAATTAAATTGTTTATTTATACATAACCGATTGGAGCGCCATGTTTGTTTGTACTATGGAATTTCAATCATGACAAAATGATATTCAGTGTAAAAAACAAAACTGCCCTGTAAACTGCAGAGTCGTCATGACTTGAGAAAACTATAACAGTCTTTTGATGGAAACCTGTACTGTCGAAGGTAGACGTATATACATATTAGTATTGAAAATGATGAGGATCAGTTTTGCAATAAATATTATAAACATGAAGTGGTGTACTTCGATTTT